TACTGGCGCTTCAGGCCAGGGTAGTTAACCCACTGTACCATAGCCCCGGCCCCAAAATATTCTTCAAAAACCATTTCATGAGTACTTAATAAGACCTGCTAACATAAACTATTTGGAATCTCAGTGTTTTAGAAATGAAGAGCATTGCCATGTTCATCTCTTTCTTCTCTCTCATATAAGGGAGAAATCTGAAGCCCAGAGAGGTGGAGACTTTCTCAAGGTCACAGGCCATCAAGTCACTGGGTAGGACTAGATTCTGGATCTCCAAACATTCTAGTAGGCTGAATCTGCTGCTTTGCAACAATGGTTAACCTTTGTAGAAGTTCAACCTTATCATAAAGCTTGACCATGAAGTTTCAGGGTAGCCAGTGGACTCTAGAGTCACCATTAAACAATGGATACTCACTTCAAAGACCCAGCAAGCCCAGCAGTGGCAAATAGTAGCCATTCTGAATCTCAATAACCTTGTATCTTCAAAGACTTTAATGCCTTCTTCCAGAATTATAAATTTACCAAATGTCATAACATCAAAACAGCACAAAGCTATACAAAGAAATAAATGAATCTTCTTTATTTTCTTTAATCCCTATTTTCCTCACTCACCTTTTCTATAACCTTTTCTTCTCCAACCCCAAGGAACCAGTGTTAGCTGTAGGTTCACATCTTCCACACCCTTTTTCTGTGCCATTGCACACACACACACACATATACACAGTGAAAAGATAACACTATTTCTTTCTCTCTCAAATAGAATCATATTAAATTTAAAAGTTTGGACTTTGAAAACTTTATAAAGACAATATAAATAAATTTAAAACCTATGAAAGTATTTTTATGAAATTATTACATTAATACATTCCATTCCTTAGGCCAGACTGTTTTATTCTATTATCAAAATTCACTACAGACTTTATGGCATGAAGTTCACATTTTTATTTACTTTTTTCTAATGTTATATTTTGTAAATTTAATATTCTACATTTTATTCAATAATAATTGTAATCCATATTTTATTAATTAATTTAAAATCTCATTAAATAGTGTCTAATACTTAAAAATTTTAAATTTAGTTTATTTCCTAATTATTTGAAGGACAGGGTGCCAGAGAAAAATAGAAGAGAGAAAGAGATAGAGATAGAGAAAGGGACAGATATCTCCTACCTGCTGATTTACTCACTACATGCCTGCAATGACTGGGGTTGAGCCAGGTCAAAGCTCGTATCTGGGAACTCAATTCCGGTCTCCCAAATGGTAGCAGGAACCCAATTGTTTGAGTCATCACTTACTGACTCCCAGGGTATGCATTAGCAGGAAGTTGGAATCAGGTGTGGAGCTCAGATCCAAACCCAGGCACTCTGATATGGGATGCAAATGTTCTAAAAGCTGTACCAGCTGCCTGCCCTGAATATATTCTTTAAATGAACTATTATGAGATAATTATTTGTCTACTCATATGTAAACACAAATTTCTGAAATCTGGAGTTCATCCAAAGCCAAGTTGTTGAATTTTTAAAATATTTATTAAAAATTTGGCCAGCCCCGTGGCTCAATAGGCTAATCCTCCACCTTGCAGCGCCAGCACACCGGGTTCTAGTCCCGGTCGGGGCACTGGATTCTGTCCCGGTTGCCCCCCTTCCAGGCCAGCCCTCTGCTATGGCCCAGGAGGGCAGTGGAGGATGGCCCAAGTGCTTGGGCCCTGCACCCCATGGGAGGCCAGGATAAGCACCTGGCTCCTGCCTTTGGATCAGTGCGGTGCGCCGGCCACAGTGCGCCGGCCGCAGCGGCCATTGGAGGGTGAACCAACGGCAAAAAGGAAGACCTTTCTCTCTGTCTCTCTCTCACTGTCCACTCTGCCTGTCAAAAAAAAAACTTATAGAATTTTAAAGCATTTTAATATATGTAAGTTATTAATATGTAGCATTAATAGAGGTTCATAAAACAACTAAGTCAATATAATAAAATGACTAAATTAAAATAATAAAACTTTATATTATCATTTGCAATCTAGAGTTGATTATAATGCTTTATATATATAAAAATGAAAAAGTCCATTGTGTGGATTCATCTGTCAATACAAATCACTTCCTAAACACATAATCGGAATGTAAAAATTTCTCCATTTCTGCAGTTTTTCCTCTTATTGAGTCCAGCTGTCTAGAGGAAGTGACTTCTCAGGTTAGATTTAGGCATGAATGTCTAGTTCAGTCATTCCTGGGTTACAAGCCATTATTTCTTTTTTTTTTTTTTCCAATTTTTTTTTTATCTTTTATTTAATGAATATAAATTTCCAAAGTACGACTCATGGGTTACAATGGCTTCCCCCCCCATACCGTCCCTCCCACCCACAACCCTCCCCTTTCCCACTCCCTCTCCCCTTCCATTCACATCAAGATTCATTTTTGATTATCTTAATATGCAGAAGATCAGCTTAGTATACCTTAAGTAAGGATTTCAACAGTTTGCTCCCACCACAGAAACATAAAGTGAAAATATAGATGATTTTTTTTTTAAATGATGATGAAATCAGATCAGACCTATTGTCATGTTTAATCCCAGTGAGAGTCAAGTTGGGATGATATTTCCTTTTTTTTTTTTTTTTTTTAC